GAGCCGCAGCCCCTCGTCCATCAGTGTCTGCTGCAGGATGTGGCGGCTCCATAGCCCATGGGCTGGCAATGCCAGAGGCAGGTCAGCAGGGGGCGGCGTCAGCCTTGGGCATGACCCCACAGCTGTGGGCATGGGCACTGGTCAGGTAAGGGGCTGCAGCCAAGGGAACCCCCACCCTCAACGGCACAGCCAGACCCGTAGGCCCTTCTGCCCCCATCCAGCCAGGCCTCCCAACCCTGCTCCAGGCAGAGCCTCCTTGCTCACTCCTCCCACCCAAGCCCCCCATCCTTCCTCCTCCCCCCAAAGGAGAGAGTAGTGTTTTAAGGCGCACTCACCCTGCAAGTGTCCATCTAGACTCTCCCCAGACAGGCTGGCACTGTCTTCCTCCAGGCTGGGACGGTAAGAGGGTGCATAGGACTCAGGGCCTGGGGGAGGCTGCTGAATTTCAGGGTGACTCTGTTCTCCAACCTGTGGATGCCCCAAATGGGAAAATGAGGACCTGGAACGGAAGGGGGCTGGAGAAGGCTGCCCTATCGCCCTTACGTGCGCCCTGGAGAAAACATACCTCCTGTTTCAGCTTCTTCAGTGGGGGACCTCCCAGTTCTTCAGAGTGGAGCCTGCAAAAATACAGAATAAGAAGGGTGAGGCTGGGGGGTGAAGCACAGGACAGGCTAAGCACAGAATCAGGCCAGGGGCATACATTTTTTAAAAACTATGCAAGAGGCTGGCTGAGTAGGAGTTTTCCAGCTCAGGCACTATTGTCGTAGGGAGCTGGGGGGGACCTGAGATGAATGGGAGAAGGGACCAGACCTCAGACAAGCTGACTTGGCCAAAAGCAGGACATGCAGGTGGGTAGAAAGCAGGCCTAGAGCCCCTGGAGCTGGAGGTTAAGGTGTCAGTCAACTCTTCCTTGGCAGGATTCCAATCTAGGAAGGACTTGGGAAAAGGGTCTCACCTGGAGCCCTTCAAAGAGGACAAGTAGGTGCTCTCTCGGGCCACTTGGCGAGACAAAGAGAAGAGCTCCACTCTTCGCAATAAGAGTGTGTTGTCCCTCATGCAGAACTGGGCAGCAGCCTCGTTGATGGTCAGCTGTGGAGGGAGGGCCAGAACAGTCAGAACCTCCCTCCCCATGCCCCTTCTGCATCAGATGCCCCAGGCCCATCCATCGGATGCTGGGTTTGGTTTGGACCCTACAAGGCAGCTTTCTAAGGAAGGAAAGCGGATCTGCACCCACAGCTTCCTAGGAATGCCTGGGGCCTCCTCCAAGCCTGTAGGGTTCTGCAGGACCTGGAGTTGAACAACTGGGCTTTGGCCTAGACCTCTGCTTCCCTCAGAGGTTCTCTCATCCCCCTGCGGCAGCTGGGGGAGGGGTTGCAGGAGAAGGAGTTGGGGTCTGGGATCCTGCTCAAGGGGAAGTGAAACAGTTGGGGAAGGAATTCTCAGAGGTAAGTGGGTGGAGGTCCCATGGGTGGTGGGCGATCCCGAGAGGCTCCAGGTCCTCACCTCGTGCAGACTGAGCTGCTTTCCCTCCCGCCGCTTGGAGTCGAAGCGGCCGTAGATAATGCTGTATTTGCGGATCTCCTCTTCCTTCTGGCTGTCATTATCGTCCATCTCAAAGATGTGCCCCACGCTCCGTGCCAGTTTCTTATTCAGCTTCAGCAGGGATGTAACCTCCCCAGCATCCCCCCTTGGGAAGCTCCGGAAGATCCTCTCCACGCTCTCCACCACCATGCGCACCATCTCTGGCTCCAGTCGGTCGGGGCCACCCCCAGTCCCACCTGCTGCCAGCCCCCCAGCCCCAGTCCCCTCAGGGACTCCTCCCCCTGCAGGTGGGGAGAAGGGGGGCGAGCCAGCCTCCTCTTCTCCTCCTGCCCCAACGTCCGACTCTGGGGTGCTCCGGCCTGGCCAGATCCGGGGATCCCCTGCCCCAGGTCCCCCAGGCAGTGGTGACAGCTTCTCTCCAAGTTCAAGGGGGCTCTTGGGGCTAAAACTGCGGGCACTGCCTGCCTTTTCCCCTGGGCTGCCGTGCCCATTGCTCATGCTCCCTTTCCGGGTACCCGCGGTCTCAGAGATCTTGAAGAGCGGGATGCTGGAGACAGGGACGGCAGGCACTGGTTGGCTGAAGAGCCCTGGATTGGTGGCCCATTCTCTCAGAGCCTTCTGCAGGCGTCGGACATGAAGGGGCTTGGTGGCCATGCCCACGAGTGCCATGATCTCCAGAAACTCCTCCTCACCCGCCTCACACAGCTGCTGTACGTCGTCCCCTCCCTGCTGGATGAAGGTCTCATAGTAGGAAAGGAGATTGGCGCGCTGCAGGACCCGGTACAGCTGCAGCTCCCCCAGCGTCCGAGGCAGTGCCATGGCTCGGGCACTGGGCCTGAGGAGGAGGGGCACAAGAGAGAAGCGATCAGTGCAAGTCCCCCTACTGGGCACCAGCCCACGCTAGCAATCTTCCTCTCTCTCTCCTGCCCGCTCCTCCGCTTCCCCTCCCTCGTTGGGATGCTCTCTGGCCCAGTGATCAGGTCTGAGTACAGACTGAGAAATCAGGCACTGCTCAGAGGCACAGACGTGCCAGTGCCATTCCAGACCAGTCAGAAGCACCAAAAGCCAGTGCCAGGCAACCCCCTCGGGTCCCCTCCCACTGTGGGAGCTTTTCTGTCCTCCCAATAAATCCTGCTTTCAAAAAATAAAAAGCCAATGCCCTGTCTCTGCAGACTCCAAGGCTCTTACAATCCCATCTGCAGCTTTTTACCTTTTTGATCTGGGGCAAGATGACCTCGGGCTCTGAGGCTGACCAGTACATCCCTGGGATGGCTGGACGTCCCTCTCCCCCAAACAAAACCAGCATCTTCCACAATAAACACCCAGAGTCTCAACATTAAGGTGACATCTCATACTAAGGTGAGTGTAGAGCCTCGACCTTCCCTGCAGTGGACACTGGGGTCACTGCTGGCCGGCTTCCTTTCTAGTGGCATCCTGCCCTGGGTAGTTGAGAGGGAGGGGTGTGGCCCGTAGCCTGGCTGTCCCACTCAGTGGGCCATGTGGATCCCTGCTCCTCTTCCTCAGCTTTGCCCAGGGACGAAGCATTTTTAATGCACCCTTGTTCTAACCCTCTTCCCAGGACCTCCCCTTCCTTCCAGGTTGCCCAGTGACCCTCAGTGGCCCCTCTCCTAGCAGTGACATTCTCCACTTGCTTGGCAGGCCGGTCCCTTCAGTTCAGGGGCCACGGGAGGGGAGGGGCGCCTCAATTGTTCTGCGCTGGGGCCGCTCCGCCCACACACACTCCCACAGTGGTAGCGTCTGTGGGCGAACACGCCCGGGGGCTCCCGCCTACTCTTCTCGCCCTTATTTTCCACCCACATCTTCAAGTGGGGGGGGGCTCACGGCCTCTTGAGGGAGGGGCTGCACACGGAAACTCCCCTTCCCACTCTGCACATAAAGGAACAGATATGGGAAGGGTCGCCTAAGGCATCCGCTGTATCCCCTCCAGCCCCGCGGATGTTCCCTTAACTCAAAGGCGCCAGTTTCTCCCGGACCCCGGGGCCCGCGCACTCCGTGCCAATGACAGACTGAGCCAGTCAAGCGCCCCCCACACTGTTGCCAACTCAAGGTTCCCCTGGTGCCTGGGGGCTCCCACATTCTTTGCAGGGGGGCTCGCATGCCAGGTCATGCCCACAGAGTAAACCGAGAATGAAGAATTAGACGCTACTCTTTCATATCCAGCTCCATCGGATTCCTGTCTGCTCCCAGGGTCCCCTAATTCGAAGACGCACCCCCTTTTTCATCAGTCTCCACCCCCCACCCCCGTCCTGCTTCCCCACGTCCTCTCCTCGACCTCCGCCCTCCGGACCCCGTTCCCGAGTCCAGCTCCACCCATCTCCACTCCCGGCCGCCTC